ATTGTTATATTATTTTATTTAAAAAATAAGTTCATGTAAACACAATAAATTCTCATAGAAATTTGAGTAATCACAAATTGTGTCGACTATCTATACTTATACACTTCATATGGTCCATGAAAAAACATTAACCTAAGAATTTAAATAATAAAAAGTAAGGCTTTTTATATTACTTAAAATAAATAAATAAAATTTAAGCATAACGAGTTAACAAACGTATTTATTTACAATAAACTTATCTCAGTGGAGTAAGATATAAAAGTAATATAAGAACGAGTCTATATACATATTGCAAAAATGTTTAATTCTTTGTATTTCAAAAACAACTGTATAAATACACATGTAATAAACAAGTTACAATTTTTTTATCAACGACTAAAGAAGAATGATAAATTTATAGAATTTGCAACGTGTAAACCATATCATTCTTTCTCTAGAAGTATAAATAAAATAACTAATTTAAGGTAATACATAAAAAATGTTTGTTTCTCAAATAAATGTAATGTTACTTTCAAGATACATGTACAATGCTTAATTAGAATTTTGTTGTTGTACCAACAGAAATGTGATTCAACAGCCAAAGGTGGATAGAAAATATTCATATATAAATATAAATATACAAAATGATATATTTCTGTTTAAATTTGAAACTAATTATTTTAAAAATATTAGATGGATTTTATTAGCAGCATTAACTTCTTCTGCTGTGACGTGTTACACTTCATATGATCCAAAGTTGAAATCACTATTATTTAAAGATATCTCTTGGTCCCAGTATATTAAAACTTGTGGAACAAATATTATATTTTTTACATTTGGAATATTTATAGGTAAAGTAATAATATAATCCTTATTTAGATTTTAAAATATATTTATATGTAGTCATAAATATTATTATCAGTGTCATACTTTTGAAATTTTATAAAATACATAAATAATTAAATATGAAAAATACATTTGGTAAATTATAATTATGTTATAGATTTATTAAAATTTATTATAAAATGTTTGTATTTTTAAGTTTAGGTCCTGT